TCTCTCTCTCTCTCTCTAATTATATCATCCTGTCCTATCTGCCAGCTTTTGCAATGAGAATATTAACCTCAATGAATGGTGGTGCCAAACACGTTTTGCTTTTGCAAGAACAGATATATAGAATCTCTATAGGCTTCTCTTGTTCATGTGAGCCTTTTATCTGTTTATTTAGTCATTTATATTTGTGTTATTTCAGATATTACCAGGGGTGGGACTTGATTAAAAACATTAAATTAATTAGAGGCTTTGTAATTAATTAATCTCGATTAATCATACTTAATCACGCAAAAAAATTTACCTCAAAGCGCAAATGTTTATCTTAATTTAAAAGGGTTTTAGTGGGTGACAGAATCAAATAATTGTCATGACCCTGTGCCTTCTCGGCTGACTCTGTATGGCTACAAGTGATTTTGTTGTGCTGCGTCTCTCTCTCCCCTCCCGCACACTGCGCTCTACCGGGGCGGAGTCATGATGGCTCCAGCCCCTGGCTCGGACACCTGCAAGCAATCATCTCATTCACTTCTTAAGGCGGCTGCTGAGAGTGCTTCTTCGCTGGATTATTGTGTAACACTCGTCAGTGTCATTGCAAGTTTGAGCTTTTTCCCGAGTTTCTTTCATGCCGCAACTTACCTGTTCTTCCTCCCTGTGCCAGATTTCTCGCCAGCCTGACGACTGCCATTTGGTGAGCTAAAAGCCGGAGTCCGAGCTACCTGAGCTTCAGTGAAGGATTGTGTACATAGCCCGTCCCCTTCCCGTGCCTGTGTTCCCCGGAGACCCTCTTCCTGTGCCCCCTCACCTGTATATATCCACACCTGGTGTCTGTGTGTAAATAAATTGTGAACTTAAGTGACCGTCTGCCTCCGAGTCTCTCCTGAGCCTGACAATAATAGACATGGACATAAATACTGTAAACTCAAGCTCTTTTAATTTATGGGGAAAAAAGCATTTCGTGCGATATGACCAAAATCTCATATCCCGATATAAGACATCTATCATCCCGATAACGATATAAATCACAAAAATGTAACATTTTCTGTAAATTCTGTGAATCTCAGGCAGCTCGATTTGCGGGAAGTGTTTCCAGCTGGGCGTCGTGTACCTGGAGTCGAGTGTTTTAACCGATGCGTGAAACTATATATTTTTACAAGTTGTAAAGGCCGCCGTTTTCTTTGTAAGTATTTATTACACGGCGTGCTGCGGGGAAAAGCCTGTTCTAACGTTTGAGTCTAAGGTTTATTTTTTAGCACTCGACGGCTCTTTTTTGCGCCTCATCCGTAAATACTCTGCATACTCTTTCACGTGATTCAGTTTATTTTGAAAAGTCTCAACATGATCTTGAGCTTTATTGTAAAAGGTTTATGTGGAAAATAAACAAGCGGACACGCAATGGTTTTACCATCCTTGTTGCTAACGACAACGCTTAAAAACTGGCGCCTGTCCGCCCGTAATGTGGTTATATTAAATATAAGAGAAAGAGAACTTTAAGAAATTAATATAGCCACTACAGTGACCATCAAAACGGTGAAAAAAATATTGCAGTAAACAGTTTATTTTGCAACACCACGAAACAAACGATAGCGTAAAATGAAACCACAGCTTTTTCATATCATCATCCGATATATATCGTTATATCGAACAGCCCTAATCCCTGGACAAAATTGGGCAGACTTTAAGTCCATTTTCAAAATGGTATTGTCTTTAAATAATAATAATAAAAATTTCAACATAAAATGCAGTTTTTCGTCTTAAAAATTTTTGCAGAAACATAAAAGGTTATTTAAGCAGCTTCGCCTTTAAACTCTGACTAACCTTGGCCTACATAATTTTGTGCATGAGGCTAAAACAATGTGATCATCAAAAATTGTAGTGCAAAAAATAATAAACCCATTGGACTCACAATACCTCAATGCTTATTTACTGTCTCTTTTTCAGCCAGTTAGACAAATTAGCCTGTGCACATTTTCAGAGCACAAGGCAGCTCTCTTTTTTGTTACTATGTGACCTGCAAGTGAAACAGAAGTAGCAGGACTAATCAAATACTTGTGGGCCAGGACAGACAGCTGTGGGTGGGTCCTTGCTCGACTGGACCACCACTGCAGTGAGCAGTCTGTCTCGTTGATGGTGTATTCTGCTCTGTACAAACTCAGGGCCCTGTTATATAGGGCTTCCTCATCTGAATCAGACTCTGAAGAAAATGAAGGGAGGAGGTGGCTCTTTATCTTTGCTGGCTCCTTTGTGGTGTCATCTTTGCACCGTTCCTACAGCAGGGCCTCAAGGCTGGTCCAAACCTCTTTTCGCTCTCCCCTTGCAAGACACTTTAAATCCTTAAAGCGTGGGTCAAGCACAGTAGCTATCTTGAGACACTGATGGCTGAGTGCAGCTGCACATTGGAATAGGTCTTAAATTTCACCTTATAGTTTGAGTCATCATCGGAGACCTCCATCGTGTGATGCAGGTGGCAGAAAGCAGGTTCAACCACTGAACATGACACGTATGTCTCACCTCCAAGAAGCTAAGTCACAAACCTGTAGTTTACAGTTCAAGAAAGTAATTATTAATCTACACAATAACTGTCAACTGTAAAGCTTTTTGGAAGAAACATTAACAATCACATCGCTACCAATAACTTATACACTAATGACACATAGTGGGGATTAACGGCCAACTTTCCCACATTCTCTGCAACCCGGTGGACTCATCTGTAGATACATTTTAAGTTATTTACCATCTTGTATCTGCTTACCTGCAAATATATACATGGACATAGCACAACGTTACACACTTTTGCAGTCTCACACAACTCTTATAGGCGCACTGCCTTATGGGTAGTGGCTGGGCTTATTTACTCCCGCTAGAGGTGCTCATTTTAGGGGATACTCCCTCTTGTGGTATAACAGAGGAATAACTACCCTTCCTGCACTATGTCATTTTTGGAGACTGGGGCACACATTATTTTACCACAATCAAAGAAAATACATATTTGAACAATCAGACCATTTAAATAACTATAATATTGTAACTAAAGATTATGGGGGCATGTCCTGTTTTGTCCACAATGTCTTTCTTGTCCTTACACTGAGCTCCTGTAACATTCTATGTTTGTATTGTTTCAGCTCCTATTAATGGTTTCATTTCATTAAAGGTCAGAAACCATCATTGTTGTTGAACACATAGACCCTTCTGTGCTGCGATTATTTATTTGTTGCACTGGGAACAGCAAGTGATATTAATACTGCATTGAGAGCCAACACCAAGTGAGTGTACCATTGTTGCTGGACATGAAGTAAAGACGGGTGGTTACTATGTCCATGAAATCCTTTTTTTCAGCTTTTAAGAGTACGTCTCACTTTTCTAACCCTCAACCTGTTGTGGCAGATAACATCCCCTCCCTGAGCCTGAAGGTTTCTTCACATAGGGCATTGCATGAGCTCTGCCATCCACTAGCTAGAATAAATGCTCAAATATTTCTTTCACTGCCACGCTTTCACTGTGCTTTCCTTGATGCAGTGGGAAACCATTATTGTGCAGCGCAATCGATAGAAAATACTGGGTTTTAGAGCAGATCCCCACATGTGCTGTGTGCAAAGGTCTTACTACTGCTGAAGGTTTCTTCCTTTTAAAGAGGAGCTTTTCCTTCCAACTGTCACCAAATACTCACTCAAACGGGTTTGTCTTAATGTTATTTGTGCTTTGAAATGACTGTTGTTGTTCTTAGGTGCTACTTGAATAAAAGTCAGTTGAATTAAAAATGAATTGATTGTGTTTAGCAGGTCTAGTTGATATTTAAATTATATTCACGCTCTTATTTGTGGCATTTAAGCAAAGATATATCTCTTCAGTCTGTGCTAACCACTGGTTAACACACTGGGAATGTAGTCATACAAGTTCCTGTGGAGAAGGAAGGAGCTGCTCTGCTGAGGTGAGGAGGAAACAAAATACTGTAATTTCAGTTTTTGCAGTCACGAAGCAGACAAGTGAAATCAAGGTGAGTGTTACTGAGCATTTATGGGGTGTCAGAATAATAGGAAAAAATGTTTCTTATGAGAAAAAGTTAAGAAATAGGAATTAATGTTTGTCAAGGTAGAACAAAAAAATTTGGAAATTGTTTTGGTCCATTTTAGTACTTGAGTTTGTGACACCTTCCAAAAAGAAATGTGATGATTGGAAATAAGGCTTTGGTTTATGGTCAGACTGACATTTTTCTTCTTGTGCTGAGTTCTCTATTTCTCAGTGGGCTGTAAGAGAGTAAAAGTATCTGTTGATTTATGAGGTAGAAAGTAAGCTGGGTTTAATACACGCTAGAACTGTGTGTGCATCTGTGTATCCTGTATTTCCTGTTCTGCCAGTTACAGGTGTCTATAAAAATGTTTTTGATGTTTGTTTTTCTGCTGTAGTCATAGTCAGTGTTCTTTGTTTCTCTGTCAGGAAGCCTAAAGTTGAGTGGATTGATGGAGTACAGAGCGGAGTTTCCAGGATCCAGCTCTGTGTCCATGAACAGTGACACGTCCAGAGATTATCCTCCAGTCTTCAATAATGAACCTGGAACCTCAGGGACAAAGTAAGAGACTGCTTGTGCTATCAACTAAATAAAGATGATTTCGGTTTTGAAGTCTTTTTTAATGTATCTATCTATCTACAATGTGAAAATGGTGAAAGAATAGTCTTTCTGAACAAAGCTCTCAAAGTTCTCTCACATTCATAAAAAGTTCTTTTCCTCAAACAACCACTAAGACATCTGTGTTGTTTTCAGTATGTATTATGTGTTTGATCTCCAGATATTTGTTTTCTGGTGACAGCCTGTCTCATAAATCTGACACTGAGAGAGAAGCAGCTCAGTGGCCAACAACAGGTAAATGTAAAAGAAAAACATCTTTTTCATTGTATGTTTGTGTTTGCAGTCATCAGCGACACAAACACAGAGGAGAGTTTCCAGGATCCAGCTCTGTGTCCATGAACAGTGACACGTCCAGAGATTATCCTCCAGTCTTCAGTCATGAACATGGACCCTCAGTCACACAGTAAGAGACTGCTTCTGCTATCAACTGAGTGAAGACGATTTTGGTTTTGAAGTCTTTCATAATATTTCAAAGGGGTTTGTAGGGTTGGAGTCACTGAATGTGGCCTAACCTGTTCCACATCAGGTTTTGTTTGAGATTAAAGATCAAAAGGTATGAAATGAAGGCTTTTGGAACTATTATTCCTTTGGAAAGTAAAATTAACCATTCTTGGAAGCTATAGGATAAACTCGGTTTCCAAAAATGGTGAAAAGTATGCTTAACGTCTTTTAACATATTAGCATGTTTCTAGTATTTATGACCAAGGCTGTTAATACGACACATTCATTCAGGGGTGTCCAACTCCAGGTCTCAAGGGCCAGTTGCAGGTTTTAGATGTGTCCTTGATCCAAAAAAAGCTGAATTAAATGGCTAAATTACCTCCTCAACCTGTCTTGAAGTTTTCCAGAACCCTGGTAATGAACTAATCATTTGATTCAGGTGTGTTGACCCAGGGTGTAATGTGCTAACTTGTACATACCTCCCCAGTCATGGCCCCGCCAGATGCAAAGGTGGGGGGAAAAGGCAAAGGCAGGGGACATGTGGGCAATACGCCAGATAGGGAGCTGATGCTGCAGGATGAAGAACTCTCACCCGCTGGCTGAGGTGTCAGACACAGTGAGGTCCAACCGGCGTGTTAACTGGTGAAGCTCGAGCAATACGCCAGGATACACAGTCTGCACTAGCGGGCTGAGTAAGGAACGTGACCCGAAGGTCGGTCTCCAGAGCCAAGCAGCTTCACCGTCCACAGACAGGGAAGCAGCAAGAGTGAACTCGCAAACGAGACACCTGTAGGCTGCCAGGAAGTTTAGCTCACTGATTGAGCCTCTGCTGGCTGCGTAAACCTGCGGCACGTGGGCAATACACCAGGGGAGCACAGCCTACTAAGTCAATCGAGCATAGCAGCTAAGCTAAGGGTCTTGCTAAGGGAGACCGGGGCTAAGGGAGACCAGGGCCAGGAGAGAGGCAACATCCAGGGAGGCTGCAGAAACAAGCTTCCACTAACGGACACCACTGCCATTGCCACTATCACACACACACAGTCACACAGTACCACAAGTAGGTACCATCAGTCAACCACACACGCACAAACAAGTGGAGATAAAACAATCACCGGTGTCAAGTTTGCACAGCTGTTTTATACGTAAGCTGTTGGGTGTGGCCGGGCTAGCCTGCGTATCCACACACCACGACCAAGAAGGGGTCATACCACATACATATAGAATATATAACAGCGTGGAGAGATAGTCTCGATATGATAGAGAACAACCACTCACACAACAGCTGTTGTCAAGATTCTTGTTTTTCTTACCCTTTTTCCTCACTCTCCCTCCCCTCACCAGATTTTCCATGTTTCCCTTTTTCACCATTGATTGGCTCTGGCACACATTATATAAGGACTGCACTCACTTACAGCTCACACTTTTCACTCCCACATGGGGCGGCAGCTGAGAGTTTATGTGTGTCATGTGTGTCTTCCTTTAATTGATTTTTCTCAACCAACCACTCACACATCTGTGTTGTGTTCAGTATGTTATATGTGTTTGATCTCCAGATATTTGTTTTCAGTGAAGTTGGTGACAGACTGTCCTACAAAAATTATGTCAGTAGTGACAAAATTGAAAGCTTCAGCCAGATAAATCTGTCACAGAGAGAAGCAGCTCAGTGGCCAACAACAGGTAAATGTAAAAGAAAAACATCTTTTTCATTGTATGTTTGTGTTTGCAGTCATCAGCGACACAAACACAGAGCAGAGTTTCCAGGATCCAGCTCTGTGTCCATGAACAGTGACACGTCCAGAGATTATCCTCCAGTCTTCAATAATGAACCTGGAACCTCAGGGACAAAGTAAGAGACTGCTTGTGCTATCAACTAAATAAAGATGATTTCGGTTTTGAAGTCTTTTTTTAATGTATCTATCTATCTACAGTGGGGCAAAAAAGTATTTAGTCAGCCACCGATTGTGCAAGTTCCCCCACCTAAAATGATGACAGAGGTCAGTAATTTGCACCAGAGGTACACTTCAACTGTGAGAGACAGAATGTGAAAAAAAATCCATGAATCCACATGGTAGGATTTGTAAAGAATTTATTCGTAAATCAGGGTGGAAAATAAGTATTTGGTCAATAACAAAAATACAACTCAATACTTTGTAACATAACCTTTGTTGGCAATAACAGAGGTCAAACGTTTACTATAGGTCTTTACCAGGTTTGCACACACAGTAGCTGGTATTTTGGCCCATTCCTCCATGCAGATCTTCTCGAGAGCAGTGATGTTTTGGGGCTGTCGCCGAGCAACACGGACTTTCAACTCCGCCACAGATTTTCTATGGGGTTGAGGTCTGGAGACTGGCTAGGCCACTCCAGGACTTTCAAATGCTTCTTACGGAGCCACTCCTTTGTTGCCCGGGCGGTGTGTTTTGGATCATTGTCATGTTGGAAGACCCAGCCTCGTTTCATCTTCAAAGTTCTCACTGATGGAAGGAGGTTTTGGCTCAAAATCTCACGATACATGGCCCCATTCATTCTGTCCTTAACACGGATCAGTCGTCCTGTCCCCTTGGCAGAAAAACAGCCCCATAGCATGATGTTTCCACCCCCATGCTTCACAGTAGGTATGGTGTTCTTGGGATGCAACTCAGTATTCTTCGTCCTCCAAACACGACGAGTTGAGTTTATACCAAAATGTTCTACTTTGGTTTCATCTGACCACATGACATTCTCCCAATCCTCTGCTGTATCATCCATGTGCTCTCTGGCAAACTTCAGACGGGCCTGGACATGCACTGGCTTCAGCAGCGGAACACGTCTGGCACTGCGGGATTTGATTCCCTGCCGTTGTAGTGTGTTACTGATGGTGACCTTTGTTACTTTGGTCCCAGCTCTCTGCAGGTCATTCACCAGGTCCCCCCGTGTGGTTCTGGGATCTTTGCTCACCGTTCTCATGACCATTTTGACCCCACGGGATGAGATCTTGCATGGAGCCCCATATCGTGGGAGATTATCAGTGGTCTTGTATGTCTTCCATTTTCTGATGATTGCTCCCACAGTTGATTTTTTCACACCAAGCTGCTTGCCTACTCTTCCCAGTCTGGTGCAGGTCTACAATACTTTTCCTGGTGTCCTTCGAAAGCTCTTTGGTCTTGGCCATGGCGGAGTTTGGAGTCTGACTGTTTGAGGCTGTGGACAGGTGTCTTTTATACAGATGATGAGTTCAAACAGGTGCCATTCATACAGGTAACGAGAGGGGGAAAGAAAAGCGTCTTACAGAAGACGTTACAGGTCAGTGAGAGCCAGAGATTTTCCATGTTTGAGGTGACCAAATACTTATTTTCCACCCTGATTTATGAATAAATTCTTTACAAATGCTACCATGTGAATTCATGGATTTTTTTTTCCACATTCTGTCTCTCACAGTTGAAGTGTACCTCTGGTGCAAATTACTGACCTCTGTCATCATTTTAAGTGGGGGAACTTGCACAATCGGTGGCTGACTAAATACTTTTTTGCCCCACTGTATCTACAATGTGAAAATGGTGAAAGAATAGTCTTTCTGAACAAAGCTCTCAAAGTTCTCTCACATTCATAAAAAGTTCTTTTCCTCAAACAACCACTAAGACATCTGTGTTGTTTTCAGTATGTATTATGTGTTTGATCTCCAGATATTTGTTTTCTGGTGACAGCCTGTCTCATAAATCTGACACTGAGAGAGAAGCAGCTCAGTGGCCAACAACAGGTAAATGTAAAAGAAAAACATCTTTTTCATTGTATGTTTGTGTTTGCAGTCATCAGCGACACAAACACAGAGGAGAGTTTCCAGGATCCAGCTCTGTGTCCATGAACAGTGACACGTCCAGAGATTATCCTCCAGTCTTCAGTCATGAACATGGACCCTCAGTCACACAGTAAGAGACTGCTTCTGCTATCAACTGAGTGAAGACGATTTTGGTTTTGAAGTCTTTCATAATATTTCAAAGGGGTTTGTAGGGTTGGAGTCACTGAATGTGGCCTAACCTGTTCCACATCAGGTTTTGTTTGAGATTAAAGATCAAAAGGTATGAAATGAAGGCTTTTGGAACTATTATTCCTTTGGAAAGTAAAATTAACCATTCTTGGAAGCTATAGGATAAACTCGGTTTCCAAAAATGGTGAAAAGTATGCTTAACGTCTTTTAACATATTAGCATGTTTCTAGTATTTATGACCAAGGCTGTTAATACGACACATTCATTCAGGGGTGTCCAACTCCAGGTCTCAAGGGCCAGTTGCAGGTTTTAGATGTGTCCTTGATCCAAAAAAAGCTGAATTAAATGGCTAAATTACCTCCTCAACCTGTCTTGAAGTTTTCCAGAACCCTGGTAATGAACTAATCATTTGATTCAGGTGTGTTGACCCAGGGTGTAATGTGCTAACTTGTACATACCTCCCCAGTCATGGCCCCGCCAGATGCAAAGGTGGGGGGAAAAGGCAAAGGCGGGGGACATGTGGGCAATACGCCAGATAGGGAGCTGATGCTGCAGGATGAAGAACTCTCACCCGCTGGCTGAGGTGTCAGACACAGTGAGGTCCAACCGGCGTGTTAACTGGTGAAGCTCGAGCAATACGCCAGGATACACAGTCTGCACTAGCGGGCTGAGTAAGGAACGTGACCCGAAGGTCGGTCTCCAGAGCCAAGCAGCTTCACCGTCCACAGACAGGGAAGCAGCAAGAGTGAACTCGCAAACGAGACACCTGTAGGCTGCCAGGAAGTTTAGCTCACTGATTGAGCCTCTGCTGGCTGCGTAAACCTGCGGCACGTGGGCAATACACCAGGGGAGCACAGCCTACTAAGTCAATCGAGCATAGCAGCTAAGCTAAGGGTCTTGCTAAGGGAGACCGGGGCTAAGGGAGACCAGGGCCAGGAGAGAGGCAACATCCAGGGAGGCTGCAGAAACAAGCTTCCACTAACGGACACCACTGCCATTGCCACTATCACACACACACAGTCACACAGTACCACAAGTAGGTACCATCAGTCAACCACACACGCACAAACAAGTGGAGATAAAACAATCACCGGTGTCAAGTTTGCACAGCTGTTTTATACGTAAGCTGTTGGGTGTGGCCGGGCTAGCCTGAGTATCCACACACCACGACCAAGAAGGGGTCATACCACATACATATAGAATATATAACAGCGTGGAGAGATAGTCTCGATATGATAGAGAACAACCACTCACACAACAGCTGTTGTCAAGATTCTTGTTTTTCTTACCCTTTTTCCTCACTCTCCCTCCCCTCACCAGATTTTCCATGTTTCCCTTTTCACCATTGATTGGCTCTGGCACACATTATATAAGGACTGCACTCACTTACAGCTCACACTTTTCACTCCCACATGGGCGGCAGCTGAGAGTTTATGTGTGTCATGTGTGTCTTCCTTTAATTGATTTTTCTCAACCAACCACTCACACATCTGTGTTGTGTTCAGTATGTTATATGTGTTTGATCTCCAGATATTTGTTTTCAGTGAAGTTGGTGACAGACTGTCCTACAAAAATTATGTCAGTAGTGACAAAATTGAAAGCTTCAGCCAGATAAATCTGTCACAGAGAGAAGCAGCTCAGTGGCCAACAACAGGTAAATGTAAAAGAAAAACATCTTTTTCATTGTATGTTTGTGTTTGCAGTCATCAGCGACACAAACACAGAGGAGAGTTTCCAGGATCCAGCTCTGTGTCCATGAACAGTGACACGTCCAGAGATTATCCTCCAGTCTTCAGTCATGAACATGGACCCTCAGTCACACAGTAAGAGACTGCTTCTGCTATCAACTGAGTGAAGACGATTTTGGTTTTGAAGTCTTTCATAATATTTCAAAGGGGTTTGTAGGGTTGGAGTCACTGAATGTGGCCTAACCTGTTCCACATCAGGTTTTGTTGAGATTAAAGATCAAAAGGTAGGAAATGAAGGCTTTTGGAACTATTATTCCTTTGGAAAGTAAAATTAACCATTCTTGGAAGCTATAGGATAAACTCGGTTTCCAAAAATGGTGAAAAGTATGCTTAACGTCTTTTAACATATTAGCATGTTTCTAGTATTTATGACCAAGGCTGTTAATACGACACATTCATTCAGGGGTGTCCAACTCCAGGTCTCAAGGGCCAGTTGCAGGTTTTAGATGTGTCCTTGATCCAAAAAAAGCTGAATTAAATGGCTAAATTACCTCCTCAACCTGTCTTGAAGTTTTCCAGAACCCTGGTAATGAACTAATCATTTGATTCAGGTGTGTTGACCCAGGGTGTAATGTGCTAACTTGTACATACCTCCCCAGTCATGGCCCCGCCAGATGCAAAGGTGGGGGGAAAAGGCAAAGGCGGGGGACATGTGGGCAATACGCCAGATAGGGAGCTGATGCTGCAGGATGAAGAACTCTCACCCGCTGGCTGAGGTGTCAGACACAGTGAGGTCCAACCGGCGTGTTAACTGGTGAAGCTCGAGCAATACGCCAGGATACACAGTCTGCACTAGCGGGCTGAGTAAGGAACGTGACCCGAAGGTCGGTCTCCAGAGCCAAGCAGCTTCACCGTCCACAGACAGGGAAGCAGCAAGAGTGAACTCGCAAACGAGACACCTGTAGGCTGCCAGGAAGTTTAGCTCACTGATTGAGCCTCTGCTGGCTGCGTAAACCTGCGGCACGTGGGCAATACACCAGGGGAGCACAGCCTACTAAGTCAATCGAGCATAGCAGCTAAGCTAAGGGTCTTGCTAAGGGAGACCGGGGCTAAGGGAGACCAGGGCCAGGAGAGAGGCAACATCCAGGGAGGCTGCAGAAACAAGCTTCCACTAACGGACACCACTGCCATTGCCACTATCACACACACACAGTCACACAGTACCACAAGTAGGTACCATCAGTCAACCACACACGCACAAACAAGTGGAGATAAAACAATCACCGGTGTCAAGTTTGCACAGCTGTTTTATACGTAAGCTGTTGGGTGTGGCCGGGCTAGCCTGAGTATCCACACACCACGACCAAGAAGGGTCATACCACATACATATAGAATATACAGAGGTGTGGACTCGAGTCACATGACTTGGACTCGAGTCAGACTCGAGTCATTAATTTTATGACTTTAGACTTGACTTGAAAAAATGTTCTAAGACTTGTGACTTGACTTGGACTTTTACACCAATGACTTGGGACTTGAATTGGACTTGAACCGGTTTACTTGAAAAGACTTGATATTTTACCCCAAATATAAAATTTAACATGCATATTATATAGAGATTGAAAATGTGACGTCATTCACGGGTAGAACCGCAAAGGATTCTGGGAACTTGTGGCAAGAGGTACTAGCGCACACAGACTTTCAATTGAAATCAGTTATACAGCGATAAAAGAAACACAAAAATGTCAAGAAGCTGTTGTATTATTAACTGCAATAGCCGGTCGCATGACAGCCACGGGAAGCCGACGGGTAAAGAGATCGGTTGTTATCGGATTATGTCGTTGAAGAGAAATTGTTCGAGCCATGTTTCCGAAGTAACAAAGACGCGACGGATGGCCTGGATTGCAGCCATTCAAAGACCAAATATAACGTCCCAGAACACTCCAGCTCACAGGTTAGTCTGCTCCAAGCATTTACACAAAGGTCAGTGTTTTTTAGTAGTTAATACGTCATTTTCATAACATAATTGGTGATATAGGTTACAAGCAAGTCTGGCACTGAACAGAAATTGTCGCGCTATGCTCCTTTGTTTATTGTGCATAAATAGTGAATTGTCCTGACACAATATTGTGTTTCGCTTCTGTTATTATGGTACATTGACAAAAACATATACTTTTATTCACAGGATAAAACAGGTTTTTGTATCACTAATTGCCCAGTACGATTACAGCATACAATATTATTGTCACTGCTGCATTTCTGTGATGCTACCAGAAATTATTTCCACTACTAATTAATTACCGCTGAGCTCAAAGGTCCTATTAATAAACGGTTAACGAATGTGTATTCATGACGACGATTTGTGAGACTGGTAAACTTATGATACGTACGATGGTCTTTCGTTCTACACGGTGCATTTCAAGGTCCTGCACCCATCCGTCGGTAAACTGTACCTGGGCTTGTTGCAGTGACCGGAAGTTACTAAACTTCATGAGTGTATGCACTCACTCCAAGAACCGTATGATTATAAATATGCATATAAATATGCTACGATGAGATAGCTGACTTCATCTAACTAGCAAATGTTGTCCAGGCTACGTTGGTGATGCAGTTTTTTTTAATGTGTATGATATTTTTGTCATGCGATTTTAAAGCCGGTCCTACAAGCGCATCCAAGAATAACATGCAGCTTATCTCAGAACTGTCGGTGAAAATTATTCTTGGAGCTAGGTTTAATTGAGCTGCATTTTAAAGAGGTGCAATTTCACAATTTGTGTATATTTTCTAAGTTCACTATTTTGTCATGTGTTGAGAAAAACACAGATTTAAAAATTACATGGTCTAATATTTACATTTAGCATAACTGCAACATGCTTTTTTTCGTTTTTTGAATGACTCGAAAGGACTTGAAATTCAAAATTTCAGACTTGTGACTTGACTCGGACTTTTACACCAGTGACTTGAGACTCGACTCTGACTTGCCTGACATTACTTGAGACTTGACTTGAGACTTGAGGATAAAGACTTGAGACTTACTTGAGACTTGCAAAACAATGACTTGGTCCCACCTCTGAGAATATATAACAGCGTGGAGAGATAGTCTCGATATGATAGAGAACAACCACTCACACAACAGCTGTTGTCAAGATTCTTGTTTTCTTACCCTTTTTCCTCACTCTCCCTCCCCTCACCAGATTTTCCATGTTTCCCTTTTTCACCATTGATTGGCTCTGGCACACATTATATAAGGACTGCACTCACTTACAGCTCACACTTTTCACTCCCACATGGGGCGGCAGCTGAGAGTTTATGTGTGTCATGTGTGTCTTCCTTTAATTGATTTTTCTCAACCAACCACTCACACATCTGTGTTGTGTTCAGTATGTTATATGTGTTTGATCTCCAGATATTTGTTTTCAGTGAAGTTGGTGACAGACTGTCCTACAAAAATTATGTCAGTAGTGACAAAATTGAAAGCTTCAGCCAGATAAATCTGTCACAGAGAGAAGCAGCTCAGTGGCCAACAACAGGTAAATGTAAAAGAAAAACATCTTTTTCATTGTATGTTTGTGTTTGCAGTCATCAGCGACACAAACACAGAGCAGAGTTTCCAGGATCCAGCTCTGTGTCCATGAACAGTGACACGTCCAGAGATTATCCTCCAGTCTTCAATAATGAACCTGGAACCTCAGGGACAAAGTAAGAGACTGCTTGTGCTATCAACTAAATAAAGATGATTTCGGTTTTGAAGTCTTTTTTTAATGTATCTATCTATCTACAGTGGGGCAAAAAAGTATTTAGTCAGCCACCGATTGTGCAAGTTCCCCCACCTAAAATGATGACAGAGGTCAGTAATTTGCACCAGAGGTACACTTCAACTGTGAGAGACAGAATGTGAAAAAAAAATCCATGAATCCACATGGTAGGATTTGTAAAGAATTTATTCGTAAATCAGGTGGAAAATAAGTATTTGGTCAATAACAAAAATACAACTCAATACTTTGTAACATAACCTTTGTTGGCAATAACAGAGGTCAAACGTTTACTATAGGTCTTTACCAGGTTTGCACACACAGTAGCTGGTATTTTGGCCCATTCCTCCATGCAGATCTTCTCGAGAGCAGTGATGTTTTGGGGCTGTCGCCGAGCAACACGGACTTTCAACTCCCGCCACAGATTTTCTATGGGGTTGAGGTCTGGAGACTGGCTAGGCCACTCCAGGACTTTCAAATGCTTCTTACGGAGCCACTCCTTTGTTGCCCGGGCGGTGTGTTTTGGATCATTGTCATGTTGGAAGACCCAGCCTCGTTTCATCTTCAAAGTTCTCACTGATGGAAGGAGGTTTTGGCTCAAAATCTCACGATACATGGCCCCATTCATTCTGTCCTTAACACGGATCAGTCGTCCTGTCCCCTTGGCAGAAAAACAGCCCCATAGCATGATGTTTCCACCCCCATGCTTCACAGTAGGTATGGTGTTCTTGGGATGCAACTCAGTATTCTTCGTCCTCCAAACACGACGAGTTGAGTTTATACCAAAATGTTCTACTTTGGTTTCATCTGACCACATGACATTCTCCCAATCCTCTGCTGTATCATCCATGTGCTCTCTGGCAAACTTCAGACGGGCCTGGACATGCACTGGCTTCAGCAGCGGAACACGTCTGGCACTGCGGGATTTGATTCCCTGCCGTTGTAGTGTGTTACTGATGGTGACCTTTGTTACTTTGGTCCCAGCTCTCTGCAGGTCATTCACCAGGTCCCCCCGTGTGGTTCTGGGATCTTTGCTCACCGTTCTCATGACCATTTTGACCCCACGGGATGAGATCTTGCATGGAGCCCCATATCGTGGGAGATTATCAGTGGTCTTGTATGTCTTCCATTTTCTGATGATTGCTCCCACAGTTGATTTTTTCACACCAAGCTGCTTGCCTACTCTTCCCAGTCTGGTGCAGGTCTACAATACTTTTCCTGGTGTCCTTCGAAAGCTCTTTGGTCTTGGCCATGGCGGAGTTTGGAGTCTGACTGTTTGAGGCTGTGGACAGGTGTCTTTTATACAGATGATGAGTTCAAACACGTGCCATTCATACAGGTAACGAGTGGGGGAAAGAAAAGCGTCTTACAGAAGACGTTACAGGTCTGTGAGAGCCAGAGATTTTCCATGTTTGAGGTGACCAAATACTTATTTTCCACCCTGATTTATGAATAAATTCTTTACAAATGCTACCATGTGAATTCATGGATTTTTTTTTTCCACATTCTGTCTCTCACAGTTGAAGTGTACCTCTGGTGCAAATTACTGACCTCTGTCATCATTTTAAGTGGGGGAACTTGCACAATCGGTGGCTGACTAAATACTTTTTTGCCCCACTGTATCTACAATGTGAAAATGGTGAAAGAATAGTCTTTCTGAACAAAGCTCTCAAAGTTCTCTCACATTCATAAAAAGTTCTTTTCCTCAAACAACCACTAAGACATCTGTGTTGTTTTCAGTATGTATTATGTGTTTGATCTCCAGATATTTGTTTTCTGGTGACAGCCTGTCTCATAAATCTGACACTGAGAGAGAAGCAGCTCAGTGGCCAACAACAGGTAAATGTAAAAGAAAAACATCTTTTTCATTGTATGTTTGTGTTTGCAGTCATCAGCGACACAAACACAGAGGAGAGTTTCCAGGATCCAGCTCTGTGTCCATGAACAGTGACACGTCCAGAGATTATCCTCCAGTCTTCAGTCATGAACATGGACCCTCAGTCACACAGTAAGAGACTGCTTCTGCTATCAACTGAGTGAAGACGATTTGGTTTTGAAGTCTTTCATAATATTCAAAGGGGTTTGTAGGGTTGGAGTCACTGAATGTGGCCTAACCTGTTCCACATCAGGTTTTGTTTGAGATTAAAGATCAAAAGGTATGAAATGAAGGCTTTTGGAACTATTATTCCTTTGGAAAGTAAAATTAACCATTCTTGGAAGCTATAGGATAAACTCGGTTTCCAAAAATGGTGAAAAGTATGCTTAACGTCTTTTAACATATTAGCATGTTTCTAGTATTTATGACCAAGGCTGTTAATACGACACATTCATTCAGGGGTGTCCAACTCCAGGTCTCAAGGGCCAGTTGCAGGTTTTAGATGTGTCCTTGATCCAAAAAAAGCTGAATTAAATGGCTAAATTACCTCCTCAACCTGTCTTGAAGTTTTCCAGAACCCTGGTAATGAACTAATCATTTGATTCAGGTGTGTTGACCCAGGGTGTAATGTGCTAACTTGTACATACCTCCCCAGTCATGGCCCCGCCAGATGCAAAGGTGGGGGGAAAAGGCAAAGGCGGGGGACATGTGGGCAATACGCCAGATAGGGAGCTGATGCTGCAGGATGAAGAACTCTCACCCGCTGGCTGAGGTGTCAGACACAGTGAGGTCCAACCGGCGTGTTAACTGGTGAAGCTCGAGCAATACGCCAGGATACACAGTCTGCACTAGCGGGCTGAGTAAGGAACGTGACCCGAAGGTCGGTCTCCAGAGCCAAGCAGCTTCACCGTCCACAGACAGGGAAGCAGCAAGAGTGAACTCGCAAACGAGACACCTGTAGGCTGCCAGGAAGTTTAGCTCACTGATTGAGCCTCTGCTGGCTGCGTAAACCTGCGGCACGTGGGCAATACACCAGGGGAGCACAGCCTACTAAGTCAATCGAGCATAGCAGCTAAGCTAAGGGTCTTGCTAAGGGAGACCGGGGCTAAGGGAGACCAGGGCCAGGAGAGAGGCAACATCCAGGGAGGCTGCAGAAACAAGCTTCCACTAACGGACACCACTGCCATTGCCACTATCACACACACACAGTCACACAGTACCACAAGTAGGTACCATCAGTCAACCACACACGCACAAACAAGTGGAGATAAAACAATCACCGGTGTCAAGTTTGCACAGCTGTTTTATACGTAAGCTGTTGGGTGTGGCCGGGCTAGCCTGAGTATCCACACACCACGACCAAGAAGGGGTCATACCACATACATATAGAATATATAACAGCGTGGAGAGATAGTCTCGATATGATAGAGAACAACCACTCACACAACAGCTGTTGTCAAGATTCTTGTTTTTCTTACCCTTTTTCCTCACTCTCCCTCCCCTCACCAGATTTTCCATGTTTCCCTTTTTCACCATTGATTGGCTCTGGCACACATTATATAAGGACTGCACTCACTTACAGCTCACACTTTTCACTCCCACATGGGGCGGCAGCTGAGAGTTTATGTGTGTCATGTGTGTCTTCCTTTAATTGATTTTTCTCAACCAACCACTCACACATCTGTGTTGTGTTCAGTATGTTATATGTGTTTGATCTCCAGATATTTGTTTTCAGTGAAGTTGGTGACAGACTGTCCTACAAAAATTATGTCAGTAGTGACAAAATTGAAAGCTTCAGCCAGATAAATCTGTCACAGAGAGAAGCAGCTCAGTGGCCAACAACAGGTAAATGTAAAAGAAAAACATCTTTTTCATTGTATGTTTGTGTTTGCAGTCATCAGCGACACAAACACAGAGCAGAGTTTCCAGGATCCAGCTCTGTGTCCATGAACAGTGACACGTCCAGAGATTATCCTCCAGTCTTCAATAATGAACCTGGAACCTCAGGGACAAAGTAAGAGACTGCTTGTGCTATCAACTAAATAAAGATGATTTCGGTTTTGAAGTCTTTTTTTAATGTATCTATCTATCTACAGTGGGGCAAAAAAGTATTTAGTCAGCCACCGATTGTGCAAGTTCCCCCACCTAAAATGATGACAGAGGTCAGTAATTTGCACCAGAGGTACACTTCAACTGTGAGAGACAGAATGTGAAAAAAAAATCCATGAATCCACATGGTAGGATTTGTAAAGAATTTATTCGTAAATCAGGGTGGAAAATAAGTATTTGGTCAATAACAAAAATACAACTCAATACTTTGTAACATAACCTTTGTTGGCAATAACAGAGGTCAAACGTTTACTATAGGTCTTTACCAGGTTTGCACACACAGTAGCTGGTATTTTGGCCCATTCCTCCATGCAGATCTTCTCGAGAGCAGTGATGTTTTGGGGCTGTCGCCGAGCAACACGGACTTTCAACTCCCGCCACAGATTTTCTATGGGGTTGAGGTCTGGAGACTGGCTAGGCCACTCCAGGACTTTCAAATGCTTCTTACGGAGCCACTCCTTTGTTGCCCGGGCGGTGTGTTTTGGATCATTGTCATGTTGGAAGACCCAGCCTCGTTTCATCTTCAAAGTTCTCACTGATGGAAGGAGGTTTTGGCTCAAAATCTCACGATACATGGCCCCATTCATTCTGTCCTTAACACGGATCAGTCGTCCTGTCCCCTTGGCAGAAAAACAGCCCCATAGCATGATGTTTCCACCCCCATGCTTCACAGTAGGTATGGTGTTCTTGGGATGCAACTCAGTATTCTTCGTCCTCCAAACACGACGAGTTGAGTTTATACCAAAATGTTCTACTTTGGTTTCATCTGACCACATGACATTCTCCCAATCCTCTGCTGTATCATCCATGTGCTCTCTGGCAAACTTCAGACGGGCCTGGACATGCACTGGCTTCAGCAGCGGAACACGTCTGGCACTGCGGGATTTGATTCCCTGCCGTTGTAGTGTGTTACTGATGGTGACCTTTGTTACTTTGGTCCCAGCTCTCTGCAGGTCATTCACCAGGTCCCCCGTGTGGTTCTGGGATCTTTGCTCACCGTTCTCATGACCATTTTGACCCCACGGGATGAGATCTTGCATGGAGCCCCATATCGTGGGAGATTATCAGTGGTCTTGTATGTCTTCCATTTTCTGATGATTGCTCCCACAGTTGATTTTTTCACACCAAGCTGCTTGCCTACTCTTCCCAGTCTGGTGCAGGTCTACAATACTTTTCCTGGTGTCCTTCTAAAGCTCTTTGGTCTTGGCCATGGCGGAGTTTGGAGTCTGACTGTTTGAGGCTGTGGACAGGTGTCTTTTATACAGATGATGAGTTCAAACAGGTGCCATTCATACAGGTAACGAGAGGGGGAAAGAAAAGCGTCTTACAGAAGACGTTACAGGTCTGTGAGAGCCAGAGATTTTCCATGTTTGAGGTGACCAAATACTTATTTTCCACCCTGATTTATGAATAAATTCTTTACAAATGCTACCATGTGAATTCATGGATTTTTTTTTTCCACATTCTGTCTCTCACAGTTGAAGTGTACCTCTGGTGCAAATTACTGACCTCTGTCATCATTTTAAGTGGGGGAACTTGCACAATCGGTGGCTGACTAAATACTTTTTTGCCCCACTGTATCTACAATGTGAAAATGGTGAAAGAATAGTCTTTCTGAACAAAGCTCTCAAAGTTCTCTCACATTCATAAAAAGTTCTTTTCCTCAAACAACCACTAAGACATCTGTGTTGTTTTCAGTATGTATTATGTGTTTGATCTCCAGATATTTGTTTTCTGGTGACAGCCTGTCTCATAAATCTGACACTGAGAGAGAAGCAGTTCAGTGGCCAACAACAGGTAAATGTAAAAGAAAAACATCTTTTTCATTGTATGTTTGTGTTTGCAGTCATCAGCACAAACACAGAGCAGAGTTTCCAGGATCCAGCTCTGTGTCCATGAACAGTGACACGTCCAGAGATTATCCTCCAGTCTTCAGTCATGAACATGGACCCTCAGTCACACAGTAAGAGACTGCTTCTGCTATCAACTGAGTGAAGACGATTTTGGTTTTGAAGTCTTTCATAATATTTCAAAGGGGTTTGTAGGGTTGGAGTCACTGAATGTGGCCTAACCTGTTCCACATCAGGTTTTGTTTGAGATTAAAGATCAAAAGGTATGAAATGAAGGCTTTTGGAACTATTATTCCTTTGGAAAGTAAAATTAACCATTCTTGGAAGCTATAGGATAAACTCGGTTTCCAAAAATGGTGAAAAGTATGCTTAACGTCTTTTAACATATTAGCATGTTTCTAGTATTTATGACCAAGGCTGTTAATACGACACATTCATTCAGGGGTGTCCAACTCCAGGTCTCAAGGGCCAGTTGCAGGTTTTAGATGTGTCCTTGATCCAAAAAAAGCTGAATTAAATGGCTAAATTACCTCCTCAACCTGTCTTGAAGTTTTCCAGAACCCTGGTAATGAACTAATCATTTGATTCAGGTGTGTTGACCCAGGGTGTAATGTGCTAACTTGTACATACCTCCCCAGTCATGGCCCCGCCAGATGCAAAGGTGGGGGGAAAAGGCAAAGGCGGGGGACATGTGGGCAATACGCCAGATAGGGAGCTGATGCTGCAGGATGAAGAACTCTCACCCGCTGGCTGAGGTGTCAGACACAGTGAGGTCCAACCGGCGTGTTAACTGGTGAAGCTCGAGCAATACACCAGGATACACAGTCTGCACTAGCGGGCTGAGTAAGGAACGTGACCCGAAGGTCGGTCTCCAGAGCCAAGCAGCTTCACCGTCCACAGACAGGGAAGCAGCAAGAGTGAACTCGCAAACGAGACACCTGTAGGCTGCCAGGAAGTTTAGCTCACTGATTGAGCCTCTGCTGGCTGCGTAAACCTGCGGCACGTGGGCAATACACCAGGGGAGCACAGCCTACTAAGCCAATCGAGCATGGCAGCTAAGCTAAGGGTCTTGCTAAGGGAGACCGGGGCTAAGGGAGACCAGGGCCAGGAGAGAGGCAGCATCCAGGGAGGCTGCAGAAACAAGCTTCCACTAACGGACACCACTGCCATTGCCACTATCACACACACACAGTCACACAGTACCACAAGTAGGTACCATCAGTCAACCACACACGCATAAACAAGTGGAGATAAAACAATCACCGGTGTCAAGTTTGCACAGCTGTTTTATACGTAAGCTGTTGGGTGTGGCCGGGCTAGCCTGAGTATCCACACGCCACGACCAAGAGGGGGTCATACCACATACATATAGAATATATAACAGCGTGGAGAGATAGTCTCGATATGATAGAGAACAACCACTCACACAACAGCTGTTGTCAAGATTCTTGTTTTTCTTACCCTTTTTCCTCACTCTCCCTCCCCTCACCAGATTTTCCATGTTTCCCTTTTTCACCATTGATTGGCTCTGGCACACATTATATAAGGACTGCACTCACTTACAGCTCACACTTTTCACTCCCACATGGGGCGGCAGCTGAGAGTTTATGTGTGTCATGTGTGTCTTCCTTTAATTGATTTTTCTCAACCAACCACTCACACATCTGTGTTGTGTTCAGTATGTTATATGTGTTTGATCTCCAGATATTTGTTTTCAGTGAAGTTGGTGACAGACTGTCCTACAAAATTTATGTCAGTAGTGACAAAATTGAAAGCTTCAGCCAGATAAATCTGACACAGAGAGAAGCAGCTCAGTGGCCAACAACAGTTAAATGCAGAAGAAGAATTGCTTCTTCATTTTGTCTTTGCGTTTGCAGACGTCAACAACACAAACACAGAGCAGAGTTTCCAGGATCCAGCTCTGTGTCCATGAACAGTGACACGTCCAGAGATTATCCTCCAGTCTTCAGTCATGAACATGGACCCTCAGTCACACAGTAAGAGACTGCTTCTGCTATCAACTGAGTGAAGACGATTTTGGTTTTGAAGTCTTTCATAATATTTCAAAGGGGTTTGTAGGGTTGGAGTCACTGAATGTGGCCTAACCTGTTCCACATCAGGTTTTGTTTGAGATTAAAGATCAAAAGGTATGAAATGAAGGCTTTTTTTGGAAAGCAAAGAGACCATTCTTCAAACCTATAGGGTAAACTCTAAGGCAGCGGTCCCCAACCTGTTTTGCGCCACGGACAATGGCCGACAATTATGGCTGACAATATTTTCTGGCCTTTAAGGTGTCGCGGATAAATACAACAAAATAAAACTAGTACCGGTACCGAAAAAAAGAAATTTATTCATAACACACGTGAAAAGACCAAGAAAAAAACGAGTAAAAGATAAAAACGATAACAAAATAACGCTGAAAACCGAAAAAAATCCCCTGAAAACTATACATTTCACACCTGAGCCTCAACTCTTGCGGCCCGGTACTAAATGACTCACGAACCGGTACCGTTCCGAGGCCCGGGGGTTGGAGACCGCTGCTCTAAGGTATTCCAAAAATGGTGAAAAATAACTTTCCTCAAAAATGACTTCCCCAAAACAACCACTCACACAGCAGCTGTGTTGCTTTCAATGTTTATGTGTTTAATTGATATTTTTGATATTTGATAATTTTACTGTGATTTTTTGTAGTTTTATATTCTTAACTGCTGCCCTGCAGTGCACCTATCCATGACTTCGATTGGTTTGTTACTGCAAATGCAACAACTTTGATGTGACTGTGTTCATAGTTAGACTGAACCCTGGGTAACATAAAATGAGTTAATTAACTAGCTTCATGGGACCCCTTGCCACGATTAGAAGTGCTAGGATTAAGAAATAAAAGATGCATTAAATATTCTGTGGGTCTATAGCAGAAAAACCAAAATGGAAATCCAAACTTTAATTTGATAGAAATCTATAAATGATTTAAAAGGATTTCCCTGGTGACAATCTTGTCACAATCTGTGGGAGTGGAGTGAGGAGGTAGACCAAGTACAGACATGCAAGAACCAAACTTAGTCTTAACAGAAAGCGAGCCATTTATTAAGACTGGTTTTAACAGTAAAAAAATGGCAAAGCCAAAACTAAACACTAACCTAACCTGAGTGAACTCGTGCTAAACATAAAAAGCCCTGAACATTAACATGAACATGGAAAAAAGACATAAAAAACCCGAAGACTTGGCATGGCATGAAACTCCTGGTAAATATGGCATGAGCATGGCAGAATAGCATACAATCAGACAAAGAATGAATGAAAACTCAGTGACTAAATACACACAGGAGGTGTTCAAGGGGAGTGGAAAAACACGGGGAAAGGGCTGATGTGAATGGACATAATGTGGCCACGGAGGAAGTGAAACTAGACACACTGAACATGGAAAAAGAATTTTCACAATAAAATAGGAAGCATAATTAGTTGGCAGGCAGAATCTTCTCCTGCTCTGACTGAAAAAGAACTGGCTGAGAAAGCATCAGGCTTTTTATTTCTAGACCCAAGGCGATAAGAGAGGGTACAACAGAGTCGACCAAAGATCAGGGACCAACGGGCCAAGCAAGCATTTAGTCTCTTAGCAAAACAGAGGTAAACCTCCCCAACAAGCTAGCAGCAGCACTCATCCAGCACCCGCTTCATTGCTTGGAGCTCCCTCTCCCCAGCATCATAGATGTGCTCTGTGCTTGACAGTCCCTGTGAGGAAAAAGGCACAGAGTTGGAGCTTACCTTGGAGATACTCAAAATGTCCGAGCGGGGTGTTAAGAGCTGTCTTCCATTTGTCACCCTACTGGATGGGAATGAGGTGGTATGTGTTTTGAAGATCCAACTTAGTGAACATGGCGGCTTTGTGGAGAGACTCAAAAGCTGAGTTAATCAGAGGCAAGAGGTACTTATTTTTAATTTTTTATTCATATAAACCAAAATAGTCAATACAAAACAACAAAGTCATTGCCTTTGTTGCTCGTAGTTGCTATGAAAACTAGTCCAGCCCCTGCTGGAGAGAAATGATTCCTGCTGCCTGTGTCTCCCAGATGTACCTTTCCATCACTTCCCTCTCTGGCTCCCTCGCTTCCTGCTCCCACTAGCAGACTGCAACTGCATCTTATGTACATTCTGTGATATTCATTTTACTTCATTTCATTTCTGTCATCCTGTATTTTATGTTTATAAGATTTAGATTGGTTATTTATGGTTGGTTTACACAGCTTGTGTATGCATGTGTATGCATGTGTAGCTGTATATATCCGTGTGTGTGTGTCGAACGCTTTTTACGGAATCAAACTCAAAGTAAGGTCAGTACTTCCACGCTTTAAACGCTGCATGCTCATACTCTCTCCCACACTCGATATATTATCCATTGTTGATCTGCACACAGCTGTTGACACGAATGTCGCACTCGCTTATGTCACTGTCATGAGACACTCTCGCAAAAAAAAATCACGGTTTTATTAACGTAGTAACGCAGCGTGCTTACGGGAAAGTAACAGTAATCTAATTACCTTTTTTGCAATAGTAATCCCTTACTTTACTCGTTACTTGAAAAAAGTAATTGGATTATGCGTTACTGCCCATCTCTGCTGGTAACCCACTGCTACTGCAGGTTATTTTCCCAACTTCATCAGCATCTGGAACTCAAAGATGTCTAGTGTCAATTTGTGACTGATATAAAGCCATCCAGAAACAAAACAAACTTAGCAGTGCAGAAATAACTGTAGTGGCTTCTCGTGCTAAAATTAAACAGAGACACATTAAACAGTTAACAAAGGTACATTTTCCCTCTTATCCATGGAGATATTATAATACAAGTGTGAACTCAAACAAATACAATGCATTAATCCAGCAGAAAAATGGCATAGAGATCCCTCTGACATGAACAGTGAAGTCGGTTGCAGCAACTCCCAGTGCCTTAACTGTTCCACTCTTTGCATTTAAAACAGACCAGGCAGCGAAAAACGGCATTGCACACCCACATAACACCAATGCAAGCTAGCACTTCCGTGAATGTTTCTGTAGATCCCCATCAAGAGGTACCCCAAAAGAAACAGTGCCATCCAGTGGCATGTCCCATGATACCGACCTTGGCTACATTATGAAGCGTATCAATTCATGCACAGACATTTATGACTGATTAACAAACTTCAAAAGTTAATGTGCAGCTCGTGACATGAGTAGTTTTTTATCTATTTTACGGAATAATGTCTAATTTGCCTTTCAGATTCTGTGATTTATCTTCTTTGGCACAAAAGTGATTTGCAGAAAGTAAAATGCAACAAAACACAAAATAAATTAAAGATACTGAAAAGAAGTAAAGTAAGTAGAGTAAAATTTTATTTGTATAGCACCTCTCAAGATAACAATCATAATGTGCTTCAAAGCAAAGCTAAAACATAAAACAGAAATCAACCAAAAGCAATTTTAAAAATATTAGTTTTTAGCTGTTTTTTAAATGAAACCACTGAGTCCACAGGTCTCAGGCTCAAAGGCAGGGAGCTCCAAAGTCTGGGGGCTACAGTTACAAATGCTTGTTCGCCTTTCGTTTTCAACCTCGTATGACGGACGACCAGTAAGCCCTGATCACATGACCTCAAGGAGCTGCTGGGGATGTAAGATCTCTGATATTAGTTTGGTCCTTGTCCATGCAGAGCCCTGAATGTCAAAGTCAAAATCTTAAAGTGGATTCTGAATTTTATGGGGAGCCAGTGCCACTTGATCAGTAGAGGTGTAACGTGAGAGTATTTAGAAGACTTGGTCAGAAGCTTTGCGGCAGCATTCTGAACAACTTGCAGATGATCCACAGAGGCTTTACATAAACAAGTGAACAAAGAATTACAATAATCCAAACGAGATGAGACAAATGCATGGATGACCATTTCTAATTCTGAGCGTGAGACAATGGGACTCAGCTTAGCAATGTTTTTTTTAATAATAAAAACAGATTGAAGGTTTGGCAAATGTAGCGAGAGGGCCTAAGGTTTCTGTAACCATAGGTACCAATTTTTTAGGAGCACAAACAAGGACTTCAGTTTTCTTCTCACTTTGTTGAAGAAAGTTATCAGCGATCCATCTCATAATAAAATCTAAGCACCAAAGCAAAATTTGTAGTCAAGAATTGACTACTGGGTGCCTAGAAACATAAACCATGGTTTTTTTTGGATGCCCGGGCTACTATTAAACTTTGGTTTGTCTGATTTTACCGTTTTTCTTTGGTGAGAATAATTTTTTTTTGGTCCCCACAGAGAAACAAAGCGTAATAATTTTTTCGTGGGGAAGCCAACATCCTGTTGTGTGTCGTGTCATGGTGCCCTGAAGGATTCATCAGACTTCTGTCCACAGTGTAGAGAAAATTCCAGAACCAGAGATAATCAGCATGCAGCCAGTAAGAGCAGCTGTGCACAAAGAAAAATCTAATATCTTTCTGTTGATATTGTTTTTTTAATTATTCTGTTATTCAGGCATTTTGGGCTCTCCAGATTCATTGTTTTCCATTCTTTCAACAGATACTGGTCTGCAAAAAGCTTTAGATGCATTAAAGCTCACTCTGATTAACAGATGTGAACATGTGTATGAAGGAACTGATAAAACAGGAAGTGAAGCCCCCCTCAGAGTGATCTACACTGAGCTCTACATCACAGATGTGCAGAATGAAGAGTTTCAAATCCAACATGAGGTCAGGCAGGTGGAGAGAACTTCCAAGAAGAAGATCCTCCATGAAACATCAATCAGATGTCAGGACATCTTAAAAACCTTGCCTGATCAAAAGACACCCATCAGAGTGGTTCTGACATATGGCGTTGCTGGCATTGGAAAATCCTTCTTGGTGCAGAAGTTCACTCTGGACTGGGCAGATGGCTTAGAAAACCAAGACATTAGTTTGGTGGTTCTGCTTTCTTTCAGGGAGCTGAATTTGGTCAGAGATGAGCAGTACAGTCTTCTGGAGCTGATCCAAGTTTTCTATCCAACATTACAGAGCATCACAGCAGAGAAGCTCACTATGTGTCATCTTTTGTTCATTTTTGATGGCCTGGATGAAAGCAGACTTTTGTTGGATTTTGCAAACAGGAAGCTTGTGTCTGATGTCACACAGAAGTCCACCATTAGTGAGCTGCTGACAAATCTCATCGAGGGGAATCTGCTTCCCTCTGCTCTCATCTGGATAACTTCCCGACCTGCAGCAACAAGTCAAATCCGTCCAACATATGTTGACAGGGTGACAGAAGTTCGAGGCTTCACTGAAGCTCAGAAGGAGGAGTACTTCAGGAGGAGATTCAAAAAGAATGAGCTGTCAAGCAGAATTATCTCTCACTTGAAAACATCCAGGAGCCTTTACATTATGTGTGGAATCCCAGTCTTCTGCTGGATCACTGCTACAGTTCTGGAGCACATGTTGACTACAGAGGAGAGAGCAGAGCTGCCCAAGACCCTGACTGACATGTACTCACACTTCCTGCTGGTTCAGACAAAGAAAAAGCACAAGTACCACGGAGGACAAGCGATAAAGCAGCAGGAGCTCGCCAGAACTGACAGGGAAGTTATTTTGAAGCTGGGCAGGCTAGCATTTGAACATCTGCAGAAAGGAAACATCCTGTTCTACCAAGAAGACTTGGAGCAGTGTGGTCTGGATGTCACAGAGGCCTCTGTGTACTCAGGAGTTTGTACAGAGATCTTCAAAAGAGAGTCTGTGATCTTCCAGAAACCAGTTTACTGCTTTGTTCATCTGAGCATTCAGGAGTTTCTGGCTGCAGTCTACATGTTCCACTGTTACACCAACAGGAAGACAGAGGTGCTGCAGAACTTCCTTACTGAGGACGATAAAGGAAATAAGATATCTCTGGAAGATATCTCATCTCTGGAAGGTTTTCTGAGCAGAGCCATGGAGAAATCGTTCCACTGTATGTTCGGCCAACTGGAACTGTTCGTTCGCTTCCTTCATGGCCTCTGTCTAAAGTCCAACCAGAGACTCTTGGGAGGTCTGCTGGGTCAGGCAGAGTACAATCCTGAAAGCATCCAGAGAGTTATCAACAACCTAAAGGAGATTAGCAGTGATGGCAAGTGTCCTGACAGATGTCTAAACATTTTCCACTGTCTCATGGAGATGAAGGACCTCTCTGTACATCTGGAGATCCAAGAGTTCCTAAAGTCACAGAAAAAATCAGAGAAGAAACTCTCTGGAATTCAGTGCACAGCTCTGGCATATATGCTGCTGATGTCAGAGGAGGTTTTGGATGAGTTGGATCTGGAAAAGTACAACACAACAAAGGAGGGTAGAGAGAGACTGGTTCCAGCTGTTAAGAACTGCAGAAAGGCTCGGTGAGTCCAGATGTGATTAAGATTATAAATCAGTGTAGATCAATAGTTTAGTTCTTAAAGTTATTCTTACTAAAACAAAATCATTTTTCTTATTGCAGAGTCCCAGTTATTTATTGGAAAAATAACACATCAATTTAATTTTGTCACAAATCTTGTCGAGATGTTTCAAACACTGTGAAAATGGTTTTTATTTGTTTTGTTTTTTGTTTTTTTACAGAAAATTATTTGGATGATTTCATTTTTATACATCTACAGTGGCTTGTAAAAGTATTCAGCCCCCTTGAACTTTCCCACATTTTGTCACATTACAGCCACAAACATGAATCAATTTCATTGGAATTCTACGTGAAAGACCAACACAAAGTGGAGCACACGTGAGAAGTAGAACAAAAATCATACATGATTCTAAACATTTTTTACAAATAAATAACTGAAAAGTGGGGTGTGCGTAATTATTCAGCCCCCTGTGGTCTGAGTGCAGTCAGTTGCACATAGACATTGCCTGATGAGTGCTAATGACTAAATAGAGTGCACCTGTGTGTGATCTAATGTCAGTACAAATACAGCTGCTCTGTGACGGCCTCAGAGGTTGTCTAAGAGAATATTGGGAGCAACAACACCATGAAGTCCAAAGAACACACCAGACAGTTCAGGGATAAAATTATTGAGAAATTTAAAGCAGGCTTAGGCTACAAAAAGATTTCCCAAGCCTTGAACATCCCACGGAGCACTGTTCAAGCAATCATTCAGAAATGGAAGGAGTATGGCACAACTGTAACCCTACCAAGACAAGGCCGAACTCACAGGCTGAACAAGGAGAGCGCTGATCAGAAATGCAGCCAAGAGGCCCATGGTGAGTCTGGACGAGCTGCAGAGATCTACAGCTCAGGTGGGGGAATCTGTCCATAGGACACCAAGAGGTTTTCTTCCAAGATTGCCCTGTATTTGGCTCCATCCATCTTCCCAACAACTCTGACCAGCTTCCCTGTCCCTGCTGAAGAGAAGCAACCCCAGAGCATGATGCTGCCACCACCATATTTGACAGTGGGGATGGTGTGTTCAGAGTGATGTGCAGTGTTAGTTTTCCACCACACATAGTGTTTTGCATTTTGGCCAAAAAGTTCCATTTTGGTCTCATCTAACCAGAGCACTTTCTTCCACATGTTTGCTGTGTCCCCCACATGGCTTGTGGCAAACTGCAAACGGGAATTCTTCTGGTTTTCTGTTAACAATGGCTTTCTTCTTGCCACTCTTCCATAAAGGCCAACTTTGTGCATTGCACGACTAATAGGAGTCTGCAAAAGACTTGAGACTGGGGCGGGGGTTCACCTTCCAGCAGGACAACGACCCTAAACATAAAGGTGCAACAGGGCAACAATGGAATGGTTTAAAACAAAACATATCCATGTGTTAGAATGGCCCAGTCAAAGTCCAGATCTAAATCCAATCGAGAATCTGTGGCAACATCTGAAAACTGCTGTTCACAAACGCTGTCCATCTAATCTGACTGAGCTTTTTTGCAAAGAAGAATGGGCAAAGATTTCAGTCTCTAGATGTGCAAAGCTGGTAGAGACAGACCCTAAAAGACTGGCAGCTGTAATTGCAGCAAAAGGTGGTTCTACAAAGTATTGACTCAGGGGGCTGAATAATTATGCACACCCCACTTTTCAGTTATTTATTTGTAAAAAAAATGTTTGGAATCATGTATGATTTTCGCTCCACTTCTCACGTGTGCACCACTTTGTGTTGGTCTTTCATGTGGAATTCCAATAACATTGATTCATGTTTGTGGCTGTAATGTGACAAAATGTGGGAAAGTTCAAGGGGCCTGAATACTTTTTCAAGCCACTGTAAATGTTCAGCTGAAGCAGCCACAATGGCCAAGTGTGAAAGCAATGGGATACAACTGAATGGTGTCACAGTTACTTCCAGGAATAGAAATGAAATCAAAAAAGTGATTCAATACAGTCAGTGATAATACTATCTATTTAAAGCTTGATAACATCACAGTGAGCAGCTGTAAATTAAACATAAGACTTTGATAGGAAGGACCCAAAGCATACAGCATTTGAAGCTGAGTGCTTGTTTATTTCCTATTTATTTATTTATTTTTTTGGAAGTTTGCTCTTAGCAGTTTTCCACAGCAGTTCAGCTCTGTCCTGTTGTCTAACTTTCATTCCTTTTTCGGGGCCAAGCAGCTATTGAAAAAAGAAAAGCATGATTAACATAATGATATCATATGATCACAGCATCACATCAACCTTCAAAAATGTGATGTTTATATACCATTTTTCAAAGAAATACATGGTATTTGTATTTCCAAAATCTAAAAATGGTTCATTAAACATGTTTTTGGTTTTCACAGTAAATAACTTTAGTTTTTTCCTTCTTGGATTTTATATTTGTCAAAGTTTGTCAAAATGGAGGGGAAAAAGTCTCACATATGTAATGGAATTCAGTGTTTTCTCCTTCATCTCCACATTAAATCAGAACAAAGACTGAAAATGTGTGGGTCTGAGAAGTCATAAGAATGTTTCATGTCAGTCTGATCAGATCAGCTGCACCACTGATGTTAAGAGACAGTGTCCAATTCTTTGCCAGCGAGTGCACAAACTAAATATAATGTGTCTTCTTCATAATAACATGTTATTTTTTTAATATGTGTCAACACAGACTTCATAAGATTTTTGTCTATGCGGGTAAATGTGGCCCTGTGGCCTCAGCTCTGAGGTCCAGCCCCTCCCATCTGAAAGAGCTGTGCCTGAGTTCAATCAACCTGGAGATTCCAGCAGATGAAACTTTTGCTAATCTGGGGGATCCAAACTGTAGACTGGAGACACTCAGGTCAGTTAACTGAAACTGAATCTGTTGTTATTTATAAAGTTATTTCAATATATTGAACTATGAATTTATCCCCCTATAGCCCAACTCCAGTACTGTGAGATGGAGGACTGGGATGCACCAGTCCATTTTTTTTCTCATTGCCTTAGCGTCAGGCAATGAGGACTTGGATTTTAGCATAATTTCATTGATTCCCACAAATCCACCACTTACAGTTTTGGAAAATCTTGCATCCAATTACAGGATTGTAGTAATCTTCACCCCCACATTGCACAACAAAGTAACCAGAGTCAGATGTAGCCTGCTATCTTACATTGGACATCTGGAAACATTAGGGGGACAATGTGGATGAGACAGTGACCAGAGGTTAGAGCAGCTGACTAATAACCTGCAGGTTTTTAGATGCTGACATTTTTAGGATGAGTTTTCACACAAAGAATAAAAATTTGGACTAAAGAGATACTAAAAGCTAGACTTGTAGTCAAGACTGCCTAAACCAAGACAATACCAAGACCAGAGGGTATCGAGACCAAGACAAGACCAAGGTCAAGACAGACCAAGTCAAGACCAAGACAAAGTCAAGATGAGAACGAGACAAAAAAGTCTTTAAACTGCAGCCAGATGCTGCTTCGTTTATAGGTGTCAGGCATATTTGTGTTTTTGCGGTGCGCTCGAACAGCCCTCCTCACCGCTGTCTACTGTCTCACTCACTTACTGAGAGGACAGACGCATGCTCCACTTGACTGTACTTGCACCATCATCAAAAATGGTGCAAGTACATGTAGACAATTTAAGATTTTTTTTTTTTAATTAATGCATGAACAAAACACAATCACTAGCAAATCTCTAGCAAACTGGAGCTTGGTTATTTTTAATCAGAGAAGTGTTCTGTTGCCGTATGTGTGTGTGTTTTCTGCATGTTTGCACTTGAAAATAATCTTTAGAGTTTGCAATAGTGTGTAGCTCCATTAGAGATTCACTTGGTTTCTTATAGGAAAAAGATGATGTAATAAAAAAAACCCACTTTGAATAACAATCATGTGAATTACAGATTTGAGGACAGCACTTTGTCAGAGAACAACTGTGCTGCTCTGCTCAGTGCTCTGAAGTCCAACCCCCCCTACCTGAAACGTCTGGATCTAATAGGATGCAACCTGGAGGGCTCAGGGATGAAACAGCTGTATGATTACCTGGAAAGTCCACACTGTAAACTACAGTTTAAAAGGTCAGTTCACCTGACTTAGATTATAAAGGAAAAGTATTTCTTTGGTTTCTGTTTATCGGTGTGTCTGCAGAACAAACAATCACACATACAAAGAGAATAAGGATGTGTGTAGAAGGCTGACTTTGTGATGATCCACAGTAACAAAAGTAAAAGTTACTCCTCATTTTAGAGAAAATCTTTAAATATGCGGTTCATATGGTAACATTGAACTGCATATTTAAAGGTCTTGTGTTTTTATACTTTATAAATTCTTAGTTTCACATGTCCCCAGTATTTACGTTTCGGGCTTCTGTTTAAAACAACACAGATCTTTATTTTTTTTTATTTTTTTTTGTAACCATGTCTGCATACCTCTAGTTAGAAACTCCTTTCAGTATCTGTGGATTCAAACTGGAATGGGCACTACACCCACCTCTTTCTGTGGAAAACAGTCACCAGGAGCAGAGCAGCTCTTTCTGTACACTGTGTATAGCTTTTCAATAGAGAACTAAATTTGACACTGCATGACTTCTAACTGCAAATGCACCACATGTAAATCAATATGTTATAGCCATTATGTACTCAGAACAAAAAATTCTTGAAAATACACGAACTGTGACTTTATCTGTACCAAAGTTAAATATGTCAGGAAATGTTATTTCTCTCACATTCACAATAGTAAGCTGCTCACTTCTTCCTGGACCTCCATCTTCCACAGGTTACAAAAGGAGACACTGATCAGTAAAAGCATTTTAACACAAAAATGAATCTATTAGAAATACAAACCCTGGATGTACTTGTATTCAGTTTTAATGTAGTTTGTTTAGTGTGACTTCTCCTTTGTCTTTTCTCACTTTGTTAACAAAAAGATGTAACAATTCATTTTGTATGCTATCTGTTTTTGGACCCATCTCATCATGTTCCTGCAGAGTGTCTGTGGTTTAGATGCTGCACTGTGGTGAGTATTATTGAGATCTCTTAGTGTATTTACAATTTTTTTCTGAATGCTTAAACCCTAACTGTGATTCTTACAGCACAATTTCTAAAACTATTGATACTTATAGCAAAACCACTCACTGAGTTTGCAAAACTAAAAGGACAAACACTGCTTTGCACTCAGTTTGCCATTTTGTAACACACACTTTGCAAACCTGTAGCTACAATCCACTGCACAGCACTCTTTTTGCAGAACTGTAAACACAACTCACTGCTTTACACTCAATTTCCAAATGATCAATGCACTCCTAGCAAAACTATACACATTTATGGCCATTATTTACACTATTTTGCCAACTGTCTGGCACACTGCCACATGTGAAAACTTTCTTAGATAATTAGTTCACTTTGCAATCAGCCTAAGCACTATAATACAGGTAAGCTGTGTGTGCGGAGTACAATGGAGGGAGCAGAAAGAGTGAGAAGTAGAGGAGGCCGAGGAAGAGGACGTGGAGGTGAAGAAGTAGTATGAAGAGGACGACAAGGACAAGGAGGAGCAAGAGGAAGACGAGGAGGGGGGAGAGGAAGATGAGGAGGGGGGATAGGAAGGGTAAGAAGAGTAAGAAATAGAATTGCTGATGACATCAGAGCTACAATAGTGGACCATGTAATCAACCGTGGAATGACCCTGAGGGTAGCTGGCCAACGGGTCCAGCCTAACTCGAGCCGCTACACTGTAGCAAGCATCATAAGGACATCTTGAAATGAGAATCGGTTAATGCAGTCACTTCGCACAAAGAGTTGTAGCACTGCCATATGCCAATGAGAAACACACCAATACCATTGATGTAAAAATACTGAAATTGTTACTTTACAGAATTGCTAGATGACCAGATGCTGGGACAGAGGAAGCATGTTCACTGCAGACCAAGTAACCCATATAGTCATTATGGCGATTGCAAATAATCCTATACTTGGAAATAAACACTTGTGTTTGTTTTGATGTTTTGAATAAACACCAGGGGCCCGTTCTTCGTACCTCGCTTACTACATCCAAGACCAAATCATCGCGCTAACCGTGAGCTCGCTAATCCGGTTCTCCGAACACACCTGCTGTTGACGATTAGTACAGCTGGATGAAGTAATGTGAGATCACTGGGTGTCATAAAAGGGGCTACGCATCGATAGTAGAAACATTGATCGGCAACCCTCTGATTGGTCGGCGAAAATGTCGAAGGAGCGCGCTCGGTATTTTTCGGCAGCAGAGCAAGAACTCTTGATTGAGGGATTTCAGGAGTTTCAGAGTTTAATTAAAACGCAAGGGAACACTGCAAAGGCTGCAAAAGCAAGGAGAGAGGGCTGGCAGAAAGTTGTTGACAAATTAAACTCGTAAGTAATTTAATAATAACAATAATAATGGAGTGGATTGATATAGCGCTTTTCAAGGCACCCAAAGCGCTTTACAATGCCACTATTCAGTCACTCTCACATTCACACACTGGTGGAGGCAGCTACAGTTGTAGCCACAGCTGCCCTGGAGCAGACTGACAGAAGCCAGGCTGCCATATTGCGCCATCGGCCCCTCTGGCCAACACCAGTAGGCGGTAGGGTAGATTTATTATATTACACTATATTATCCAATAATATATTACATTATATTATATTATGTTATATTATATCCACTTTCACATTAGAGCCACAACAGGACCCACTAGAACATGGGAACAAGTAAAAGTGAAATATAAGAATATTCTACAGAATGGTAATATTTATCACTTATATTGCTTTTCGTCTCTTGGAAAGAGACCCTGGAATAATCTGTTTATTTGTTCATAACAGCAACCAAGAAAAGGGCAGAGCAAAAAAAGACAGGTGGTGGTCCTGCACCCCCACGTCAACAAGTTGGTTAAGTGAATAATACCCTCACGGGAATATCGATATCTCTCTATGAGCACACTGTCGCGCTGAGCTAAAGGATCCTGTCTGTCCCGCAATATACGCTGAATTCTGGAAACTCTCCTTATCAATCTTGCACCTTCCGCAATGGGTGGCTCGCGTATACAGACAGGACATGGCTGCGACAGACTTCCCAAATCCACCTTTGCTTTTATAGCTGTGGTCTCCCATCTTGATTACACGAAGTAATTTGCAATTACTACTCTGAAATATGAATTACATCTGTAATAATCACATACATGTAATAGAATGTTAATAGTACATTTCCCTTTTTTAGGAAATGACCTGTATGTATCTGTATGACATCAATAAAAGGATCAAGTGCTGCATTATCTTTAGTTACATTGATGTTATTTATTTATGGTGAAACAGTGGTAAAATATCGCTGTTGCTTTCGTATGAATGAAGCGGACATACCTGCGTGGCCGTGATCTAATCCTGTTTACATAAAGTGAACCTGCTCCCGAGCAGGTTTACGCTTACGGCTCTGTTGCTATGACAGCAAGTCCCGGATGAGCTTCGGGGAACCGAACGATCCAAGATCACGCGAAATCGTCAACAATCAAATCCAGCTAACTTACTTAGCGAGGTACGAAGAACGGGCCCCAGTACTTGAAGTTTGGATCCCTCTATGCTTATGGATCTATGACAGAAGTATGAGCTCAAACTGACATAGCCTACCTTGTGCACAGAGAAAGCAAAAGCCAGATGTGTTTTGTATTCATACCATCAGTGTGCAGTTGCCGCATTGTGTGCTTAGTAGATGATGGCTTGTGTGTACTGTTTGATACGGAAACACCATTTTTACGAAGGTGTGAAGAGTTAATCTAGCTGTGTTTGCTTTTGCAAGAGAACTACAATGTTTTGATGATTGGGTGACAGGTTTTCTTATTTGTGTGAAGAGTTTTGCAAAATTAGCCAATAGTTACAAAAAATGTGCTTAAGCAATCAGAAAAAACTGTAATTTATACATTTTAGTGTCAATTTCAAGATTACTAAAGAGAATTTTAAGATTAATGTCATGTAATTGACTATGAGCAGGGAAGATAGCAGGGGTGATTCTAGGATCAGAGCTTTGGGGTGCTGAGCACCCAGAGAGCTGCCCAGCCAGGCAAGATAAACTTTACTCGTCACAATGAGACTTCTTCCTCGTCTCTGTCAGTCCCTGCATCCTTAAATGTCTCCAGTTGTCCCAAGGTCCCTCTGACTAAATTACACCTTTCTTGGCTGCTACTTCAAAGCACATTGTGCTCTGTCAGTCCTGTGTGCTGCACAACAACATTGAATTTTTAGTATTTACTGCTGTTTACACTTAGCTAGATTAATGCGATGGTGTTGTGTTTAGTATGTTGCTCTGTTTCTTTTTGCTTGTTTTTTCTTCTTTTTCTCTCAACAGGTGATCCAGGAGATTTTTTTTTCTCTTCTTTCTCTTTTTAAGTGCCCTTTCTCACTGTCCCTCTTCCCTTCTGTTTTTCTTTTCTTTCATCTTTCTTAGTATGTTGCTTTGTTTTTTTTTTTTTTTTGTTTGTTTTTTTTGCTTGTTTTCTATTCTTCTCCTCTCAACAGGTGATCCAGGAGATTTTTTTTACCCCCCCTTTCTCACTGTCCCTCTCCCCTTCTGTTTTTCCTTTCCTTCCTCTTTCTTTCTCCCTTTCCTATCCCTCACTCATGTCTGTCCCGTCTGTAACATCTGAAAATAAGATATAATAAATAATAAAAACAAAGGTCGATCAAATGGATCAATACGGCAATGCCACGATGATCCATTTGGCAAAGTAAATCCATTGGGTATCTTTGTTGGTCTTCAGACAACAATTCTGACGGCTAAAGAACCAAATGGGACAGGCAAAAAAAAAAAATTGGGGGAGAAGTAGGACACATTTGTCGACACATTTGAAGGACTCTTTGAATTCAAACAGCCTTTGTCGTAAAACCGCTTTGACTTTTGCCTCCAAATACGGAGGATCGGAGCATCCTTCCCCTGAATTACGACGCAGCTACAAATAAGAAAACTGAGAACACAGCTGACACGAATAACGAGACAGGGGAAGAGCAAACACAACATGACGCACACTGACAGGAGACTATCAAAGTAAAAAAGGAAGTACACAGAGACGTGGATTGGAGGG